CTGCAGCTGAGGCTTCACATGCTGCAGCAGCAACAACAGCAACAGCAGCAGCAGCAGCAACAGCAGCAGCAGCTGCAGCTCGAAGGAAGTTCGCATACAGGCATGTGCAGCACCAATGATCAGGAACCACAGTGCGACTGCAGCAAAAGCAGCAGCAGCAACGCCGAGAACAGCAGCAGCAGCAGCAGCAGTTGCAGCACCTGCTGCTGTGGAGGCCTGTGCAGGGCCCGGCTGCTGCTGCTGCTGCTGCAGCGGAGGCAGCAGCAAGAGAGCTGGAGGCGACTGTGGCGGGACTCAGCGCAGGAGGAATTTCGAACGCTGCGGCAGTGCTGCCTTGTGCAGCGCTGCAGGCTTTCAGCAGCAGAAGCAGCAGCAGCAGCAGAAGCAGAAACACAAGCAGAAGCAGTGACAGCAGCAGAAGCAGAAGCAGCAGAAGCAGCAGAAGCAAAAGCAGCAGCAACAGAAGCTGAAGACGTAGAAGCAGCAGAAGCGAAGGCAGCAAAAGCAGAAGAAGCAGAAGCAGCAGCAGCAGAAGCAGAAGCAGCACCAGCAAATCCAGCAGCAACAGAAGCAGCAGAAGCAGCAGAAGCAGAATCACCGGAAGCAGAAGGAGCAGGAGCCGCAGCAGCACCAGCAACAGAAGCAGCAGAAGCAGCAGAAGCATCAGCAGCAGAAGCAGCAGCAGCAGAAGCATCAGCAGCAGATGCGGAACATATAGGAGCAGCAGCAGCAGCAGCAGCAGAATCAGAAGCTGCAGAAGCAGAAAGAGGAGATGCAGCAGAAGCAGACATCTCTCCTGCTGCATCTACACCATCGTCAGAAGCATCTGCTGCTGCAGTGGACGTTGATGCTCCAGCTGCTGCTGCTGCTGCTGCATCAACAGCTACACCTCCTGCTGGTGCTGCCGCAGCAGCTGCAGCTGTTGACTCTGCTGCTTCCGCCAGATACGAGCGGACAGAGGCAGATAGGTTTCTGCTTCAGTTGCTGCTGCAGAACCTTGCAGCAGCAGCAGCAGCAGCTGATACCTCAGAGGCTACTGTGTGCTGCGCAGCATTAGAACAATTGCTGCAGCGGTCGGCAGCAGCAGCAGCAGCATCAATAGTACCAACACAAACAGAAGCAGCACATGCCGGTGCTGCTGCTTCAGCAAGCCACCATCAGCTGCTGCTGTATACTCTAGTTTGTAGGCTGCTGCTAGCTGCAGCAACTGGTGCTGCTGCAGTTAGCACTGCTAGCAGCAACACTGGGGCTGTTTTGACATTGGTAACGAACGTGCAGCAGCAGTTGCTGCAGCAGCAGCAAGAACAGCAGCACAAGCAGCAGGGAAAGCA